GTGATAGACCAGGGCAGTACGCACAGGTCACCACAGCCCTCCTGCTCAGGCGTGGTCTAAGGAGCCCGAGAGGTGTGAGGAAGGAAGCCTGCTCCGAGGCACTGATGGCAGAGGTGGGCCCAGCTAGCACGGCCACAGCCCTTGTGTGTCTGAGCACACGGCAAGTGTGCTGCCCTACGGAATGTGACCGTCCTTTGTGCTAGGGCCAGCTTTAGGGCCCAGTAACCAAGTCCCCTTGGAGAAGGTGTCCTTAGCCATGGTGGTGGGGACACTGTCCACCAGCGCCAAATGTCTGGGCCCTTGTACTGCACAGACAGACACCAGGGACAGAATGGGGAAGGGAGCAGTCGGATGTCTCTTTCCATCTGCCTGGTAGCTCAGCCACTGGTACAGCAAAAGAATCTGACAGACAGACAAGCATCTAAGAGCCACCTACACGCCATGGCGCTTAGCGTGCTGGGCTAACCCACCCACAGGGCCCTCCAGGGCTCAGTGCCTGCTACAGAGGACACAGCGGTTCAAGGTTACTAAGGTAACTGGGGACTCTGCCATCCTAGAGAACTGGACCAAGCGTGCTGCCCACAGACACAGTGATCCCAGACTGTGAGACACAAGCACTGAAGAGCCGGGGAAAGGCACCCCAGAGCCCACTGCACTCCCCTCCCCTCCCCAGGACCAAATGGGGTTCAACAGTTAGCCAACAGAGGAACAAGGTGCAGGTGGACATCTCTCCACCATGAAATCGAGACTCCTTATAAAACCAGCCAACTAAGGATAGACTAGACCAGAGTGCAGCCAGGGAGCAGTCAGTGGCTGAGGCCAGACCCAGTCTATGCTCCATGGAAAAGGGAGAAACAGGATCCTCTGTCAGTCAGGATACAACAGGCTGCACTCTGGCATGTGCATGTACACACACACACACACACACACACACACACACACACACACACACACACTCCTCAGTGGCCTCACACATGAAAAATTTATTGCATGCTCAGATTACACAGCCATTATGGTTGTCAGATTCTCTGCCCATCACAGGCCTTGACAGAAGACCCTCCCTTATCCCAGTCACACTAACAAGGAGACTCCAACTCCAGGCTTAATGTCAAAGGCAACACATGAGACTTTAGGAAAACAGGACAATGCCTTTGAACCCTCATGTAGGGAAAATTTTCTTAAATAATAAATGAAACAAGACCATGTACAGAACAGCTAGGAACAGCCTACTCAGGTTAGAGACTAGCAATTCCACACCTCAGCACTGGCCCCAAGACCCTGAGGGGCCTTGCTGCACACAGCACAGAGAGCTGCCCACAGCACTGCTGAAAACTACAACATGAAAATAAAACTCATTGCCGGGGCGGTGGTGGTGCACACCTTTAATCCCAGCACTCGGGAGGCAGAGCCACTCGGATCTCTGTGAGTTCGAGGCCAGTCTGGGCTACAGAGCGAGATCTAGGACAGGCTCTAAAACTACATAGAGAAACCATGTCTCAAAAAAACAAAACAAAACAAAAAATTGTTTTCCTTTAAGAGTTGCCTTGGTCATAGTGTCTCTTCAGGGCAATAGAACGGTGCCTAAGATGCCACCCCACATGCGGAGGACCTTTGTAACTCAGGTGCAGCTGTGGCTTCCTTTGGCCACAGTAGTGTAGGTGGGGTGACACATACCACCCGTGACCCATGGCTCCCCACAGCATCACTGGACTGTGCAGTAGTATGGGGGACCTGCTGGTAAGCGTTTCTGAGGTACAGCAGCGAGCAGAGCATACCCAGTCCATTCCCAGACACACGGGGCAGACGGCAAACGAGGCGCCCACTCAGGTCACTGAGGTTCTTAAGGTCCTGACAGAGGCTGTAGGAATGACAGCTTTACTTGCTCTGCCCTACTGCTGGGTCTTTAACTCTTCCAGTTTTGCTGATCACAACGTCATGGCAGACAGTCACAGGGGCTCAGGCCGCAGCCAGGGCACAGTGGATAACCTCGTTTCCTTCAACCCTCCTGAGCACCCGGTGAGGACAAACTATTTAACACCTAACAGGGGTCAGGTGAAGAAGCAAGTGTGACTGAACTCAAGCCCACTCTCAGTCCCACACACCACGATTACATACCACAACTGCCACGGCGTGAGCATGTGGTCAGACATACGCATGCCTAGAACTGTTAATGTGGTGAACCTAAGCATTGGATATCCCTACCAATAGCAAGAAGGAGCCCATCTGCCATACCGCTGGCAACTCCGGACATGTAAAACATAAACTCACAGAACTACTCGTTTTCTGTAGAACGGCTCCAGTTTGGGTCTTAAATGCTCTACAAAGCACATGTGTTAAAGGCCTGGTCCCCATCTTGGCTCTGCTGGAAGGTAGTGGAACTTTAGGGGGGTCTCATGGAAGGTTTCAAGTCACAGAAGTGCCGTTGAAGGGGATACTGGGTCCTCTGCCCCTTCTTACCATTTTTTCCTCATCCTGGACATGAGGTGAATGGTTCTGCTACGTGTTGCCACCATGATAAGCTACCAACAAAGAGTGGACTAAAACCTCCAAAACTGATTATCTCAGCCCTAGTTACAACAGGAAGCTAATGAGTATTTTTATGACCTTAAAAAATGTCATCTTTAATCCATCTTGAGTGTATGCTAGCACACTGATATAGGCATCCTGCTCTACTACATTCTAGAAAGCCAACCAGTTATCCGAGTGGTTTTACTGACATGCACCTGAAACACCACCAACAATGTACTAAATTTTCAATTATATGCCTCTAACATGGTTTTCCTCACTATTGTTTCTCTCTATTCCAAAATCCAAGTGCTTCAAATGTTGCAGCTTTACAAAGTACTCCGGCATCTCAGAGGGCTTTATTACCAGTCTTCTCTGGTTTATGGTTTTCCTTGGAGATAGGTCTTTTAAAAACCTTTTGCTAGTGCCCATGGTCTATTTTTTAGAGGTAAGATGTTGGGATGTTTCCCAGGGAAGTGAGAGGCACACACTAATCAGAGGCTTGTCTGCCACTTTGTCAAGTCCAGGGGAGTCTTCTAGGCCATCTGTCCGAGTGCCAGCATGGGTGACCAGCCAGCCCCCCCCCCCCACACACACACACAGGTCTAATCTGATCGCCTTCTCTCCCAGGGACTAGACCACCTGGTGGCGGGTGGGTGCTGCTGTCACTGTTGCTGTAGACAAGCTCCTTTGTCATGGTCTGAAGACCACAGTCCAACCTCTTGTTCTTCCCACAGACACCTGGGAGCGGACAAGCTGGCCGCTGCAGCTAAAAGGCCCTCCCTCCTTTCCTCAGTAGCAAGAACCCAACCACAGTGGGTAGACTCATCTTCTAAATAGGACCAGACTAATTTTCTAGGTCACCTAGACTCTGCTAACTGCTCTCAAGCCTGCCAACCAGAGATGCCAGCAGTGGGCCTTCGGACATAGGCAGACCAGTACACAGGCCTTCAAGAGATGCCCAAGGAAGGTCAGGGCCAGCAGGGACGGTGGCAATTTCAAGCACAAGAGTTCACTTCAGGTCCAACAGAGGGCAGATGCATTAGGGGCCAGCAAATGGCGAGGGCCGGCGAGCAACCATCATCCCAGACAGCCATTCCAGGTTCCACCATCAGAGCCACAGGCAGGCCCAGCCATAGGCAACTAAAGAGTAAGAGAACAGTGCGTTCCAGCAACAAGCACTCATAGGAACAGCTGGGCAGCCTGGAACAGAAGCCGAGGACTACAGCAAAATCATTTCTGTTAGCAACATTCCCAGCTCTTTTGTGTATACAATGTCTGTGCTTACAAACAATTGACAAATAAACCACTTGGACCCAAAACGTCTCCTTAGTAAGTTACCAAACAATCCAACAACCTGCTCTAAGTCTCACCGGATGTTTGCTCATCACAGCCCCTCCGAAAGCAGCCAGCTGTATTTTCAGTCTATGGAAACTTTCCTCTTGTCTAAGAACTCCTAAGTAGACGCACGCTGTGTGCTGGGCAGCTACGTCTCCATCCTCAGATCGACTTGGCTCAAAGGAGTGTGCATGCTCAGCTCTCTCTAAAACTCATCCTTGTGCAGAACTGGTCTTTCTTCATTCCAGGCCTCACATTCCCATCTGCTACCCGCTCTTCTCTTTACCTAGAGCTCTCAGAAGTCAGATCCCAAGGCCATCCAACACCTGGCACTCCCTCCCCCATCTAGCTGCCCCCCTCCTCCTATCAGACCCTCTCACTTTCGTAGCCTCCATTGGGAACCACCGCTGCATACCTGTGACCCTTGGCTGGGCTCTGCTGACAGAATGCGTAGAGAACTTCTGTTCACAAAGACTGTTAGCAGCCACCATAACACAGCAGCATGCCAACTCGGGTTTACTGAGACCAGCAATGGAAGCTCAATCTGCCAGGAGATGCAAGTCATTCCCATCAGCGGGGTGAAGTGTTGGAGCATCAATGTGACAGAACACTGTGTGTGTGTGTGTGTGTGTGTGTGTGTGTGTGTGTGTGCAGAGCATGGGCAGGGGCTTTTGTAAGCATAACCAGGGGTAGTGAGAACGTTGCCATGTAAAAAGGAGAGTGACTAGAGTTGAACCTAGCAAGAGGCTTAGCTCCTACCCTCCTGCATTCAACCCTCCCAGCTGGCCAGGACTTCAAATAAGACCCCAGGAAGCATGGTTCTCAGCCAAGATGTCATCTTATCCCTCAGAAGGATGACTATGGCTGCTTCTGTACTGCTCATAAGAAATAAATCCACCCAGTGTACTATGACAGATGAGTGGCTGTTTAAAAAGGCAGTGTATACGTACAATCGGGTATTATTTAGCCATAAACAACAACAAAACAAACCCAAGCAACATTTTTGGAACCAAAGGCACTATTAAGTAAAATAAGCCCAGGTACAGAGAGATAAATGCCACACATGTCTATATGACGAAGCCATCAGAGTTGATGTGGTGGAAAGAGAAGGCAGATAATAGTAACACGACAGAAAAGACCAGGAGGAGACACGAAGCTCAGATAACTCCATGGCACAGTGTGCCCTTAGAGATGACAATAATGTATTTCATATTTTACAAGGAACCACGAGGGGAGTGCAAATACAATCCCATACAAAGAAATGATTAACGTTTAAGAGACTAGCCATCACCAGACTGAATCATTATTCATCTATGTATCCAATTATATTGTACTCCATAGATATACCATTTAAAAAAACAAAAATAAAAAAGATTTAGTCCTAGCATTCACAAGGCAGAGGCAGGGGGTTTTCTGTGAGTTCAAGGCCAGCCTGGTACATATCAAGTTCCAAGCCAGCCAAGGCTACATAGTGAAACACTGTCTCAAAAACAAAAAACCAAACCAACCACCCAAAGGATTCACAAAGGAGCCGAGGCATCCTTCAAGCAACCTTCTTTGCATTATAGGCTAGCTCGGAGGTCACAGAGAGCAGGCAGAAACACCAACAGGGTTCTTGGTGGGGGCAGCATCTGGCCACCGTGCTACAATCTGATGGGGCTGATCTACAGTCTTTCCTGTAGGAACTGGCAGGTGGAAGAGCACGTCCAGGTGTGGGGTGGGACCTTAGCTAGGGGCCCAACACAGGCCCACATTCTGGCAGGAGTTGGGCGAGCTCACATGCCTGTGTGTCTAGCTATCCAGGCACGGGTCAGTGGAGTCACCTGTAGACAGCCCTGTGCTGCCTGGGTGCTGTGGGACTCCCTCGCCATGTACGCACAGCGCTTTCCCACGAGGAGCATTGCTGCACACCTGGCTGTGTGCGGAACGCAAGGATGAGAAGTGAGGAACATAAAGGGTGGCTCTTGCGGGATCTCTGGGACACTATCCAGCCACCATGGGGTACCCAGAGATTCTTCCTGGTCTCCTTCGGCTTTAGAGCTCTTCTCTTTTCTGGGGTTCTCAGCTCCCCATATGAGCTGATTCTAGCTTCTAAGAATAAGAGTTAATGAATTCTGAAGATACTGAGACAAGTTTGGAGTCTGCGTCCTTTGGATGGGAGGCAGCTGGCCTCGCAGCACTATAATCAAGGCTACATGCACAACCAGACTGGTTCAGGGGCTCTTGGGGTCCAGAGGAGCTCTTCTCGGCCAGCTGCCACTCAGGCCAAGAACTTCTGGATATAGAGTTAGGCCTCAACAAGCAGGGGTTAGAGGGAGCAGGTAAAGCAGGCCTCAAGGGAGCATCCATATTGAGAGCTAGGGCCACCGGGAACCTGACTATGTGATGCCTTACTGTGCGTAGCTGTGCAGCCACACTGGTGGCTGGCCGGATGTGGAAGGCACAGGACAGGAGACAGTGGCATCGTACTCAACAAAACTGTTTGGGTCTTGAATAACTGCTTTGAGATCCTGGCAGAAGAGTTCATAATCATCCGGCAAGGGCAGGTCCCTGTTGAGGTAAGGAGCCACCCAGGCCCAAGCTAGGCTAGGCCTGCCAGTCAGCTGAGGCTCTCATGGACACAGTTGAGATTGTCCTGATAGTGTTCAAAGTGGAGGGCATATAATCTCCCAGCTGGGTCAAAACGTAGTCTAACAGCCATGGAAAGCTAGGAACCCAGTGGAAGTCCATCCGGAGTGGCCAGGGGTCTGGTATGCATCCAGCTGGAGAACCCCTTTCTGTAGGCTTAGTGCCAGAAGAATCATTAGCTGAGCTATTCCAATCCATGGTGGTGTCCACACACATGGGGTTCCCATGGCGGGATCTCTCAATCCAGGAATCTACAAAGGGGTCGTGCCGTGAGGTAGTATCCATCTGCTGCCAAGGGTGTGCATTGGTAAAACTGGCTGTCACCTCCATAGGATTACCAGGGCTCTGCCGATGGTACCTGCCAGGAAGCATGCCACAAGCAGAGGAAGGAAAGGCCCACATAAGGCCTGGTGCGGACAGAAGAGGCAGGCACAACACAGCAGGCCAAGAAGCAGCTGGACAGGGTGTGGCAGACTGCCATTCCAGGGAAATGCTGAGGGCCGGGGGAGGCGAGCCGGTAAGAGTTGAGGGACTGTCAGATGCCGGCCATCATCCAAGGGAATCTGTCCAAAAACAAGGTGGGGAAGAGCAGGAACCAGGCCCAACCACCATCACTGAGCGGGCAGGAGAGGCCCAGGGGCTGGTCTGGGGAGGCAAAGGAAAGAGACAAGTGCTGCCCGGGACTTCCAAGGTATAATGACAGATGCTGTCAATCCTAGAAGGGGCCAGATCAGAACATCAGGGATGCTAGGGCAATGGCAGTCGCAACTGTCATCTGGACCATTCCTGCTGAGTGCTGACCACCCACTACCCACAGATGGAGTACTGTTATTACTGCCGAGGAATTGGCAAAGTGATGTGTGTGCAGCCACACACCAATTAGTAAATGACAGCGAAGGGGCAGACCCCGTCCGTGGAGACACACGCACCCACAAATCATTTCACAGGCTACGGACTACCCCTCAAAGCGGAATGAGTGGGCTCCCGGCTGCCGGCACACTGTATGCCGCCGGATTGGAGCGTGCCACAGCATCCCTGCACACCCAGCACCAGGCACACCTGAGAGGTTGCCCCGCTTGGTCTGTTTCCTCCTGCTCCCAGGATTCCAAAGACCACCTGCAGGCAAAGCTACCCAACCCTGAGCACACCTTCCTCACCCTCATCCCAGTCAATAACCTGGCACCCTAACCCCCAAAGGTGAAAGTCTGCAATTCCACTTTGGAGTCTTCTGTTACCACCAGACCTGGCCAGAGCTCCCTCTCACAGCTGGACCCACCCTTCTTCCAAGCTGTAGTCGCAAGGCCACACAAGGAAGTAGGACAAGGAGCCCTCCTCTGGGGCTCACACACTGCTCCAGTCTCTCTACAGAGGGAAGCCCGCCACTTGAGACCTCCTCTCACCTCCCTGCACACACAGCCCAGTTCTCCATGGGCTCTCTCCTAGGAGCACCAAGTCTAGCACATATCTTCACACCTGGTTTTTCCATGTGTTTACCCCCGACCCAGAGTCAGTTTCCCCAGAAAAGTTCAGCAAGGTGGACCTCCCAAGTGGCTTGCAAGTACCACCAGCACCTACCTCTCCCAACCAAGCACTCTGGACCATCTCAGGTAGGCCCCTAACTCACACCTGAAAGCCCAGCCCTTGACCTGGGATCCACTCCATAATCATGAGCCAGATCCAGTCTCTCGGTGAGTTCTCAAAAAGTCGTGCCCACAAGCCAGGCCCCAAGCCAAGCCCCAAAGCTAGGTGTCAGGCTGCCCACAAACACCTTGTCATACATGCCCAGAAACCAGTATGCCACCCATACCTCCTGCCCCAACTTCTGACTTCAGATGTTATCTGCCCACTCACCTGGGGGCCTGCGTGCCTCTAGCAACCTAGGAGAGAGGCGCCCCCACCCTCGCACAGTCAATTCCTGCTTCAGCCTAAGTCTTCCTAACCCTGAGCCAGTCACTCACTTTTTGAGCCTCAAGATCATCCCAAACGCCCTTGCCTATTAGTCTGTGGAACGCTCTCTCTTTTCTCCATCAACCCTCCCTGGTACTAGGTAGTTTCGCTCCTTTTCCTGATTGGACAGCAATCTACTAGAAGAAGGAGGGCCGCGGCGCATGGGAATCCTCCTCCGCAGGCTGGGCAGTACCTGGCACACCGGCTGAGTTCTTTGCTCTAAGACCCAGGAGACCGGGGGACAGAACTTGCCCAAAGCCAGGATGTGAATGGAGGCAACCTGCACTGCCCACCTGCCATCCAGTCACCGCCATGCAGAGCATCCAGCTCACAAGCTCGGGGTCAATGAAGCCCACCTACCTGAGAATGTGCAAAGCGAGGCCGCCCGGGGCCAGAGGATCTGCTGGAGGACACCGGACAGGGCGGCGGGCTTCCGAGGCCAGGATCCCACAGCCACCTGCAAAGTGAAGGGCGAGGAGAGCCTGAGCGAGATCAGGGGAGCGGGAGCATGACTCCGCAGGGCAGAGCCCACACCTCAGCCCGCCGCCGCGCCGCCACGCTGACCGAGCCCCACTCACCCCGCCGCCGAGGTCCCGGCCGCTTCCTAGGATTTTGCCCAGCGCCTCGTCAGCCACGCCCCCCTCCGGCGTGCGCTCCGGCGCCCCGCACGCCCCACGCTCGCCTTCCCGCAGGGCTGCGCGCGCACGCTCGGCTCGCCGCGCCTGCGCCGTGAACCGTGAGGCCTCTCTGCCTTGCAGACGTCCCTACGGTGCCAGCGCAACAGCCCGGCGCGGGGGGTGATGGGAGTGCGCGCTCAGTGGCTTGCCGAGAGGCCGTGTGCGCAGGCGCCAGCTGGTCCTGTGGCTCGCAGGAGCAGGGGCGGGGCTGCTGCGTTCTCGTTTTTTTTGCTGTCACCTGGAGGACTGCCCAGGGCCAGCGTGGGTCGCGAGGGCCCCGGTACTGAGAGGCTGCTGAGTCTGCAGGCCTGGGGAGCGCCTCTCCCCGAGTGGCAGGTCCACACAGTACCTCTCCCCGCCTGGTGCCCATGATCAGAGCCTAATGAGGCCCAAAGTCTGCATATCTCCACCCCAGCCGCGAGAAGCAGGGCAAGCCGGCAGCACACCCCTCCGCTTGGAATCATAGCTAACAGCTGCAGGCAAGGCCTGTGGCTTTCTTCGTCTCGCGTGTGCGCGTGTGTGTGTGTCTGGACCCCGAGAGGACGATGATGGCTGGCTGCCAGCGCCTGTTGGACAGGGCAGTGCCTAGCCCAGCGTGCTGCCCAGCACTGGGGCATTGTAGAAAGACCAGGAGATGAGCCTATGTGCCCCTCATGCATATGAGGATTTGTCCCTCTAGCTCCTCCGTGTCCTCGTCGTTTCATCCCACAACCCAGACATATGTTTAGATGGTCCAAGGACCAGTCCTTGGACCAGGAACAGAGGGCTTTGCTACACGGTAATACTCCTGAAATCAAGCAAGTGTATAACACACCAGCTCCCTGTCTGCCCTGCTCCGGTGACTCCTTTCATGAAAGATCTCTGAAATGTTATCTGCATTTACACCCAAACTCACTCGCTTTGATCCTTGAAACGGGAATCAAAGATCACATTGTACTTTCCAAGGGTCTGTGGGGTTTTCAGTAGCCTGGGCCAAAAATAATAAAAGTGGCACCCAACCAGGAAACACCTCCTTGAAGTGTGAATGAAACTTGGATTTTTTTTTCAGTTGTATCTTTCCTAATTGACCTGATAATTTAAACTTCCTCCCTTAAGGGAGGGGTTGTTCCTGTGAATTCCAATCACCCTCAGGCCCCAAGCAGCTGGAACCAGCTCATGACTAAACAGCAGAGAGTGAGCAGCAGGCTTGAGAAAAAGACCACACAACCAAGCCCCTCCTACAAAGAAAGGCCTTTTTTCAAATTGCCTTTTAGTTTTATTTTAGGGCATTACCTCAAATGTGCATGACAAGATGTATTGTAGTAACCATTGTAAAGCATACAATGCAGTAGTCATATTAATAAATACATTCACAAGGGTGTGCAGACATCACCACCATTCCCAGAGCCATCTCATCGAACTAGAAACTATCCATTAAACACTGAGTCCTCATCTCCGAACCCTGAGCACCACCGTTTTGAGTCTGAATTTGACTGTGTACCCCACATACCTGGTGCTCACACAACATTTGTTCATTTGTGAATTGTTTCATTTAGTATGTTTTCAAGGTTCATCTATGCCATAGCACATGTCTGCATCGCCTTCCTTTCACATGTTGACTGAGGGAATGGGGGGTGGGGCTCAGATGTTAAGAGCACTGACTGCTCTTGTATAGGGCCTCCATTTGTTTACCAGCACCCACATTGTGGCTCACAACCATCCATAACTCCAGCTCCAGGGTATCTGATGACCTTTTCTAGTTTCTTCAGAACCAGGCACATGCATGGCTCACATATAAGCATGCAGGCAAAAGCACTCTTACATATAAAAATAAATAAAAACTTTTTTTTAAGAGCCAGCCTTTAATCCCAGAACTCAGGAGGCAGAGGCAGGTGGATCTCTGTGAGTTCCAGGCCACCCTGGTCTACAGAATGAGTTCCAGGCCAGCCTGGTCTACATAGTCAGACTCTATCTCAAAAACATCCAAAAATAAAAAGAAGTGACTGGTCCTTCCTTTGAGTGTCCACGTTCTGTTTACCTTTCATCCCTCATGACACTGAATTGTCTACACCTTTGGCCATTGTGGGTAACAGTGCTGTGGAATCATTGTGTCCTAGTCAGGGTTTCTATTGCTGGGATGAAACACCATGACCAAAAAGCAAGGTGGGGAGGAAAGGGTTTAATTGGCTTACACTTCCACACACTATACATCATCGAAGGAAGTCTGGACAGGAACTCAAACGGCAGGATCCTGAAGGCAGGAGCTGATGCAGAGGCCATGGAGGGTGCTGCTTACTGGCTTGCTCAGCCTGCTCTCTAATAGAAGTGGGGACCACCAGCCCAGGGACGGCACCACCCACTATGGGCTGGGCCCTCCCCCATTGATAAATAATTAAGAATATGCCTTTCAGCCCTCTTTTTTTGGTTCCCTCTTTTCAGATAACTCTAGCTTGTGTCAAATTGACATAAAACTATCCAGGACACACTGTAAAAGATCTGTTTGAGTCCCTGGTTTTAATGTTTTAAAATGTATGTGTTATGAATGTTTTATGTTCATTTATGTCTGCGTCATGTGCATGCCTGGCATCCTCAGAGGACAGAAGAGGGTGTTGGATCCCCTGGAACTGGATTTACAGATTGCTGTGAGCTGCCGTGTGGGTTAGTTCCTCTAGGAGAGCAGCCGGTGCTCTAAACCACTGAGCCGTCTCTCCAGCCCTGATTTTAATTCTTTAGCTGTACATCTATATAGCTATACAGCTATAAAAAAGAGCAGAACTGCCAAGTCTCACAGTGATTCTGTTTTGGTTTGTGATGAACTCCAGTGTTCCAAGCCGGTCGCCAGTAGTGGTATCCAAGGTTCCAGTTCCTCCACCACCTGCCGACAGGTGGTTCAGCAGGAGCTCACATGCCCATTATGAATGAGACCCAGCACAAAATACGAAGTTTTCCAATCTGTGAGCATAGTTTGTCTTTTCCTTTCTTTTTTTAAGTCTTCTTTAATCCTTTTCAGCAGAACTGAACATAATATCAGTGCTTGTAATCTCAACTCAGGATGGTGGGGCAGAAGGATCCTGATCTTTATAGCAAGAGTGTATCCAAACATTATTTTAAATGTTTATTATTATTATTATTATTGTTATTATTAGTGTGTGTGTGTGTGTGTGTGTGTGTGTGTGTGTGTGTGTGTGAAGGTCAGAGGACAACTTCTGGGGGAAATCCCCTCCTTCCACTGTCTGTGTCCCAGGGATCAGGCAAGAAGCACATTTACCCCCTGAACTCTCTCACCCCTCACGAAATACTTCCTGTCACAGCTGGTTGAATGTGTTGATTCAGAAGGCTGTATGTAGGGCACCTGTATATCATTGTCTTAGTTAGGGTTTCAGTTGCTGTGAAGAGACACCATGACCATAGCAACTCTCATAAAGGAAAACATTTAATGGGGACTGGCTTACAGTTTCAGTGATTCAGTCCATTATCATTATGATTGGACATGGTGGCATGCAGACAGACATGGTGATGGAGCTGAGAGTCCTACATCTTGATTGGCACACAACAGGAAGTGAACTAAGACACTGGGTGTAGCTCGAACATATATGAGACCTCAAAGCCTGCCTCCACCATAACACACTTCTTCCAACAAGGCCACATCTACTCCAACAAGGCCACACTGCTGTGGAACAATCTTTGTACACTGTGAATGTGCATTGCTCAAATTGTTAATAAAATGCTTATTGGCCAGTAGCCAGGCAGGAAGTATAGGCAGGGCTGCCAGACTAGGAGAATTCTGGGAAAGACAAGGTGGAGTCAGGATCACCAGTCAGATGCAGAGGGAACAAGAGATGAACATACCATGCTAATAAAGGTACAGCCACGTGGCAAAGCATAAGTAGAAATACGGGTTAATTTAAATGTAAGAGTTGGCTAGTAACAAGCCTGAGCTATTGGCCCAGCATTTATAAGTAATATTAAGCCTCCAAGTCAATTATTTGGGAAGCAGCTGCCAGGTAATTGGGAACAGGCAGGCGAGAGAGAAATGTCTGATTACACCACATCTCCTAATAGCACCACTCCTTTGGGGGCCATTTTCTTTCAAACCACCACAGTTATCCTATACTGTGCATATCACACACATACATTATTGTTGTTATTATTATTGCCCATGAAGTGCTCAGAAACTTCAGTGACACAAGAAGGTAGTAGCAGTGGACACCTTTGACCTGTTCCTTCTTCACTCGCCCCACGCTTTTGCTGGTTTGAAGGAGTTTTGTTTCATATGCAAGATGTTTTGCCTTGCATGCATGTCTGTGTACCACATGTGCGCCTAGTGCTCTCAGAGGCCAGGAGAGGGCATGGGATTCTCTGGAACTCGAGTTACAGACCTCTGTGAGTCACTGTGTGGGTCCTCAGAAGAGCAGTCCATCTCTTAACTGCTGAGCCATCTCTGCAGCCCCAGAATTTTTTTTCTGAGAGTGGTTTTCAAAACAATGTTCGATAAACTTAGCCAAATGCACTTCCTCTAGTGATGTAATTATGATATTTTATTTACCTTTGGTTAACGTACTAAATCATATAAAGTATATAGATAGAATGTTCAAAAGAAACCATCTTGCATTCCTTTGATAAATTCCATTTGGTCACAATAAATTCCTTGTATGTGTTGCTAACTTCAATATGTTCATATTTTAAACGGAATTTAGCATACACATCTGAAACAGGTATTGGTTTGTAACTTTCTCTGTTTGTAATGCTATTGTCTATATTTTTTTAATTTAACTGCAATAACATCCTTTCCAGAGTCTGATGCCCTGTTCTGGCCTCAAGGGGCTCCTGCATTCACATGGTGCACACACATTCACACAGGTACTCACATTTGCATAAATGAATTAATTTAAAATTGTTTTAGCCTTACCTATTTTGTGTGAGTGTTTTGCCTGTTTGT